AATCAATACAGGGCTTTAGAATAATGATACAGTATCGGGAAATGAAATATCGCAATATTTCAGTGTATTGATATTTTCTAACACCCCTAGTGTGCGTCATTGTGTGCGTTGGGCCTGGTGTGGGTCAGATGGGCTGTTTTTCAGCACCGTGTGCGTCGCGCTCATGTGGCCTGTAGTCTGAGGTGCACTGATGAGATTTTCTGCAATAAAATCCTGCAGGATTGATGGACGGCAAAAAAGTCAAGCACAACCTCTGCTTTTAGCTAACATTTAGCTATGATCAGTTTATTTTAGCTTAAGCAGTATTCTGCTAGGATTCTGCACATTTCAACTTAGTATTCATCTTCTTTTGGCTTTTAGCTAATATTTTGTTTATTTGAGTTTTTAGCTAGTAATCTGTCTGTTTTAGCTTTTAGCTAATGTTTTGTTTTTAGCTTCTAGCTAAGGCTCTGCTTCTTTTAGATTGACCAAGTTTCAGCTTTTCAGCTGTCATTCAGCGTTCTCACTGTGTTTTCACAGAAAATGGAATTTAGTTTTAGGATCTCAGCAGAATTTTTAAATTTTTTTTTCTAGTTTCTGTGATTATCTTTGATTCGATGAGCAGAAAGTTTCACACCTGAGCTGTGCAACATCCTGGACACCTGGACGGTCCAACTGTCCCTGAGAACCGTCCAACAGAACCACATCTTTTGCAAAATATTCAAATGTTCATCAAGAATCAGCCTCTAAGTTCAGCTTTTTCCTTTGTTACTAAAAAAACAGTTTGATTGAAACTGATAATTTGTGTTTTCCTGAGGTAAACAGTGAAAAAGTCGAGTAAAAATGTGAAAAATGTATCAGTTTGTTCTTTATTTGAACACCTGTCTGAACCTGAGAACACGGCTCTCAGTTTGAATTTCTCTTTTAAAAAATAAAAAATAAACCAGATTTATTTGAGCTTATAAAACTTTAACAGAATTTCTGAGTTTTCTCCGGTTTCTTTGTGCTCAGAGTCTTTTCACAGCAGAGGCCATGAA